AACCTGTCCCCATGAGCTGCACTGCCATCCCATTAATTTCTGGGTAGCACATAATCACACTGCATCCATGTTACATTGACTCACTGCATCTCTTGGATTTCCTCAGGTGCATAGTACCAATACCCTCAAAAATAAAGAAAAAGGAGCCAATCTTAAAAGGCTGCATACTGTTTGATTTGAAATATATGACATTCTGGAAAAAGAAAAACTATGAAAACAGTAAAAATATCAGTGGTTGCCAAAGGTTAGGCTAAGAAGGGATGAATAGGAAGAGCACAGAGAATTTTTAGGGCAGTGAAACTACTCTGTGTGATACTATCACAGTGGACACATGACATTACACATTTGTCCAAACCCATAGTATAGGCTTTAGGGGATAATGTGTTAAGGAAGGTTCCCAGATTGTAACAAACATACCACAGTAATGCAAGGTGTTAATAACAGGAGAAAGTGCGTGTGGGGTGAGGTGGGGAGTATATGGGAACTCTGCACCTTTTGCTCAAATTTTCTGTAAACCTAAAATTGCTCAAAAAGTAATGTCTATTGATTTATTTTTTTAAAAAAGAAAAGCAATCCTAACACTAGACTCATGCTGATCCCTTTTCCTCTCAAGTTCCAAGTTGGAGCTGTGGCCCTACAGGTATATAGAGTAACTGTATTTCCCCACTGGCTGGGAAACAAAGCCTGGGCTTCACTGCCAAGCAGGTGCACCTAGAAACTTGCTCTGGAATCTCAGTGAGCTTCTGCTCACTGAACACAAATTAATGGAAACAACAATATCTCCTCCACTATCATCTCCTGAAGATTCAATAAGGTGAGGTCAATAGCAGAGAATAAGTATTGGTGCATGAGCTTCCCTCCTTGCTTTCCTAAAAGGCTATTTTAGTGGATATTCTCAAAAATAAACTCAGAGGCTTCCCTGCACGCAGCTTCCCTGGTCTGGAAACAAACTACACACAGTTTCTATGAGGAACTGTACACATTTAGGTTCATTGCAATGCCAAAGATAGAGGATGCTGTGAGACCTTTACGTAAATAAATATTCTCCTGGTCTCACCCAAACCATTTCTAATCTTCTCAATAACTAGAAAAACCGCAAACAGCTCCAGGATAAATAAGATAAACTTAATCTATTAAACAATAGACTGAAATGCTACTTCATTTTCATTCAGCAGGAGGAAGCTGAATCTTCAATATTAATAACCTCAATAAAAAGCACAAAGTACGGGGGAGGGAGGGAGGCAGAGGAGGAGGAATAAGAAAAATGGCCATTGCTTTCCCTGTTTCCCTGTTTCATTGATGGTTAAATGGCCATTTGGAAAACAGCCAACATTTTATCAGTCTTTACCTTTATCATCAAACCTTCAATAAAAACCTACATCCTTAATCCCTGTTCACATCTCTAAATTTTGCTTTTTCTCATAATATATTCTTTAATTTGATTGGTTTACTCTCTCACACATTTTTTATTGGTAACTCAATCCCAATAACCACTTACAGTCAATTCTCTATTTTTATTAAATAAATTGCTTTTATTTTTGTTAGCTGCACATTTCACTTTTAAGCACTTTACCTTCTTTTAAACTGTGCCCCTTGAAATGCAAATCAAAACCACAATGAGATATCACTTATCTCCAGTGAGAATGGCTTTTATCAAAAAGTCCCAGTATGATAAATGTTGGCATGGATGTGTAGAGATAGGAATTCTCATACACTGTTGGTGGGACTGCAAACTAGTACAACCTCTGTGGAAAGCAATATGGAGATACCTCAAAGAATTAAAAGTAGAACTACCACTTGGTCCAGCACTCTCATTACTGGGCATCTACTCAAAGGAACAAAAGACACTCTATAAAAAAGACATCTGCACTCGAATGTTCATAGCAGCACAATTCACAACTGCAAAGAAGTGGAAACAACCTAAGTGCCCATCAATCCATGAGTGAATTAATAAGATGTGGTATATGTATACCATGGAATACTTCTCAATCAGAAAAACAATGGTGATCTAGCACCTCTTGTATTATTCTGGATAGAGCTAGAACCCATTCTACTAAGTGGAGTCTCACAAGAATGGAAAAACAGGCACCATGAAATGTACTTACCATCAAATTGGTATTAACTGATCAACACTTATGTGCACATATAGTAATAATAGTCATCGGGTGTCGGGCAAGTGGGAGAGGGGAGGAGGGGAAGGGCACATACACACCTATGGTTGTGGTGGGCACCACCAGGGGAATGGACAGGCTTGAAGCTCTGACTCAGGTGGGACAAAGGCAATATATGTAACCTAAACATTTGTACCCCCATAATATGCTGAAATAAAAAATAAAATAAAATAAATAAACTGTCCCCTGACTTCATAGATACAGTGGGAGTGTGTGATGAGCTCAGCATTTGAAGAGAAGCCCTTTGTCATTCTGACTTCCCAGTAGCAACGTGTTTTGAGTGCAAAGGTGAGAAACACTCATCCTCCCAGCCTCCAGGGCCCTACCCTAGGAAGCCAGCCAGTTCCCCCTCCTCGGGCTGTTCAGCAATGACACTAACTTCCCTCTGACATCGTTTGTTTATGGATCTGCTTCCTCCAAGCAGGACTGCATTCCTGTCTCCCCAGCCCTGCACAGTGTCTTGCCTTAGTTGTGAGGCAAATGTTTATGAATGAACAGAGAGAGAGCAATTCACCTAGGGAGAACACAAGAATTCAATATTTAAACGTGCGTGCGTGTGAGTATATTTCTTACACAAATCCTTGACTATCCTGTGTGCTTTGCTGAGCTCAAGTAGGTTAGTAGCATATTGTCTCTTCCTAATAAAATTAGACATGGGAATGGCCTAGACAACTTTAGCTCTGTTGAGAACTGACTATAGACATGTCACCATTTCCAGAGTAAGGAACTGCTATCATTCAGCTTGTGCACTGTGGCCTGGACAGCTGCTTCACAGCCACAAAGTAACAGGCAACCACAGCTATTGATCCCCCTTTCATTGTAGTGGAGATACACCCTAGAAAGGGAAAGATTGACTAAATGAAGTTTGAAGATATTTAGGGCAATTCTACTTATAATGAGGAGGCTAACTGAACAGCCTCTATGTTAAATATCTACCACTGGGTGTGGTAGATATTTAGGGTGTACTTACCATCAGGGTGTACAGGACACCGAAGCTCAGGTAATTTTCTTTGGCCATAGAGAGCTTATAATACCTCAGACCATTTTTTAAGGGGAGAAAGGTGGTCTGACTGGAAATCCTACTGGATTTGAACTAATCTCATGAACTATGACCTCCATACCTCAGATAGAAGAGGGTGTCACACTTCCCAAATGCAAGGATCTGTTTTGGACAAATGCAAGAGGCCCAACTCTTCACCATGGCTTCTGGGCCTCCCAGGGTGCTCCCCACAGAACTTCCTCCAGGCACTCCTTAGCAAGTCAGCGCCCCGTCTCCCAGCTGTGTAACATGCCCTGTCGCCCTGTCTTTTATGGAAAACCTTCACAGTGTGTCCCACCTGGCCAACTCCTGCCTATGGGTCAAGTTCAGATAGAGATGACCTCAGTGCAGCAGTCTATTCCAACCTTGCCAACTTTCCCAGGGTCAGCACCTACCTTTAGCAGAGCCCTGTGGGTGACTGTCACTTACTTAGCCTCCTCCTCTGCAGCTTGTGATTTCCAAACAGAAATTCCCATCAATTCAACTAACATAGCTTAATACTGAGCACAAAGTAAATTTCAAAGTCACAAGGAGTTCAAGAAAATCCCTAGATATGCAAATGCAAAAACCTGTTCCTAAAATAATTTTGTAACCATACATCCATGGAGGCACTTGTACTTTTAGGATTAGACATAAATGTATGTTATATATAAAGGTGGTATATAAAGTGTTGTGGAACAAATGTAAAAATTAAATTCCAGAACAAGAAAGAAAGACATTAAAAAATGATGACCCTCTTTATGCAGTCAATTGAATAATGACATATCAAGAAAAGGTAATACCACATTCAAAATTTGATTTTAATACACAACCATCTGTAGCCCATAGGTTATATGAAGTAATTCTCCTTTATTTATTCATTTCACTTCTTTGCTCTAGTTTAGGGATGACATGGAGATTTTTTTATGTGAATCACCCATAAATATAACTTTACCCCTACATGGAACCCTTATATCACCAGAGAAAAGAACACTTTTAAATCTGGCAATGAAAAGAAATGATTTTGCTACTAATTTTGGAGGGGTTATTTCCATCCACAGAACATTGCAATGAAAAGAATGCATTTAAGTCAGCATTTTGGCAATTCCCCACCCTCAGCCTCACATGTCTCCCAAATTCAGGAGCAAATGTGAAGCAGTGAGCACAGGCAGGGCTCGGCATTTGGGAGTTCCTGACATTGCTCAGGGCTGCAAAGGCAAGACCTGCTTCACGGTCTTATGTACACCTGGAAGGCAAGTGCACCCTGGCCTGCAGCTCAGGCCAAGAGCTCTCACCCTACCATACTCCAAACTCCAACACCTCAGTACTTGCTTCACAGCCCAGAATGTTTTCACAGGAAAGAGCTTCTTTTGCATTAAATAGTTCTTGATCTCAATTTGCTTATAAGTCTGTGGAAATACCCAACTCAGAGAAAACACATATCCTGTATTTTCTCTTGCAAAAAAAGAAAAGAAAAGAAGTTTATGTATCCTCAAAGTCCAAACTGAAGACAAAAGTATAACTGTGTTATTTCAAATCCTTTCCTGAGAAACACCAGAAGGCAGCTCTCTTGGATCTTGAAAGAAGGAACCGGGTCCTTCTCCAAAAGCTGCTCGGGTCACCACCTCTACTTCTTGAATTTTTTTAATACCATTTTCAATACCTAAACTACCAATAAATACTACAGATTTTAAAAAGTCAATTGTGAGTTTTAAACCTGCATGATGAATTTAAAACAGAAGTGCACGATGAGAAAGTGAGCAAGAATGAGTACAACAGCCATCAAATCAGAAAATAAAATAGTTCCTTACCATGTTTATTGATGACACAGGCCCAATGCTGTTAACATAAATGTCAACATCAATTACGGTCGGTTTTACTGTGGAGAAAAACACATTTATGTTAATACTTTGTGCCAGAGAGAGACAGCAGAATGCAGTATTCAACATCCTCATGACACATGCACTAACATCACAAGGACATGTTGGAAACACATAGGGTGGGTTTTTCCTAGACACTTGTCTTATAGTTACAATCTGAACCCTGCTGGCCCTACTTTTTTAAGTTCTGGAAGGATGAGAGATTCTTGCTTGTATTTATCAAGGTCTAGGAAATTGGAACAATTATATACTGCAAGTTGCCAGTGATAGATGAGTATAAAGATATTCTGTAACATCAGCTAAGCTGATTTTATGGCAAAGACAGGACATAAATCTACGACATTGCATAAGTGATTTCATGTCCAAGTTTTGCTGGAAAGCTAACCAGAAGAGATGAGCAATGTCAGTGATGTACCAAGTTATTTATCCACCACAGAGCTGTGTAACTATCATTCTAAAGCAAAGCAACCCAGAGCAAAGTTCTAGTGAGTTTATACACCAAAAAATAAAATAAGAAACATATTTTATTGTAGGAGTATCACTTAAAGACACATATTCACACATATATGACAGAGCTAAAATCCTATAACTCAAAAATAATAAAATTTTAGTAAGTCAAAGAGCTACTGTTTCAACTATGAGGGTATAAAATTTATATAATCAGGGGTCGTGATATCTAACATTGTGCATCAGAGGTTAAATTGGCTCATTGGCTTTAAAGAAAACCAGTTTCTTTTTCCTGGGCAGCAATGGAACTGAACGAGACGGGTACTCAGACTGCCAAGTCGACAGACCTCCGAGTCAGGGGCGATGTCCTCTGAAAGGATGGACGTGCCCTTCATTCAGCACTCATGGATGACAAGGGAGAGAACAGAGCCAATTTCAGAATATTCCTACCCAGAGAGGACTATGAACTAGACTCCTGAACCATTACACATGAAACAAACTGTTTCCACGGAAACATGTGTATTTGTATAGGCAGTTATTTCAATGTGCCTCCTTTAGGTTTGCCAAATAATGGGACATTCACAAATGGACCTCTGCACTCCACTTTGGAACTATGAGTGTCACCTCTGAGCCCTCGGTCTCTTGTAAAATTGCATATTCAGTGGTCTGTCCCTGGGCAATGATTTCCAGACCTCCATGAAATGAAAATAATGATTATGAATTTGAGCCAACTTCTCTAACATCTGTCAGCACAATCAAATCATGTGAGCTCTGAAGAGCTGTTGGCATTTTGGAAAATGTCCCAACACAATTCTATGCACTATGTATATAGTGCCTAAATTTCATAAAAGGAATATTCTTCATTTTAAATGTAGCTTTGTTAACTACTGTGAAAATTAAGTAGCATCTTTCTTCAACTTAATTGGATTCAGCAAGTGTTCTGTCTTCAAATACTACATAACCTTTGATTATGCCATACAAAAGCCTGTGTTGAGTCAGTCAGTTGAGAACCTACTTTTCTGGTTGTTTCACAGTATTTATTAGACTTTAGGCTTCCAGAGCTTTTTATCTCATTAAATTAAAAGGACCTGCAGACATACAGCTTTCTTAAAACACAATAATGCAATGAAGGGTTTGTGAGAAAGGAGTTTGGAATAACCATACATACACACACAAAAGCTGGAGAAATGAACTGTTTTCAGTTGATGCTCTTTTAAGTAGAGTCATGCTAACATAAATGAAGCATTTAGGAAAGTGGCTTTGACAGGGGCACTCAGGAAAGAGACTGGTCACAGGAGGCTCTCGGGGTTTATAATTTAAGACTCAAGAGTAAGCCTTGACAAATGATCTTCATCAAGGATGTCAAGACCATTCAATGGGGCTTAGGGCAGTCTTTTCCACAAATGGTGCTGGGAAAACTGGATATCCACATGCAAAAGAATGAAGCTGGACTCTTACCTTCCATCACATATAAAAACTAACTCAAAATGGACTAAAGACCTAGGTATAAGATGTAAAACTACAAAACTATCAGAAGAAAACATAGAGGGAAAACACTGGGTTTGGCAACGATTTCTTGAATATAACACCAAAAGCACAGGCGCCAAGAGAGAAAGAGATAAATTTGACTACATCAAAATTAAAAACTTCTGTGCATAAAGGGCACAACAGAGTGAAAAGGCAGCTCATGGAATGGGAGAAAATGTTTGCAAATCATGTATGTAATAAGTAGTTAATATCCAGAATATGCAAAGTACACCTACAACCCAACAAGAAGAAAAACAACCTGATTTAAATGGGCCCAAAACTTAAATAGACATTTCCCCCAAGAAGATACTCGAATGGACAATAAGCACATGAAAAAATGCTCAAAAGCATTAGTCATTAGGGAAATGCAACTCAAAACCACGGGATACCACCTCACACCCATCAGGATGGCTAGTATTAAACCAAGCAAGCAAACCACCACCATACCAACAACAACAAAAAACAAACAGAAAATAACAAGTGTCGGCCAGGATGTAGAGAAATGAGAATCCTTGTGCACTGTTGGTAGGAAAGAAAATGATACAGCCATGGTGGAAAACAGTATGGTGGTTCCTCAAAATACTAAAAATAGACTTATTTTATCATCTGCCAATTCCACTTCTGGGTATATACCCAAAATAATTAAAGTCAAGGATTCAAACAGATATTTATACACCCATGTTCATATCAGTATTATTCATAACAGCCAAAAGATGGAAACAACTCAAGTGTTCATCAACAGATCAAAGGATAAACAAAATGTGATGTCCATACAATGACATATTATTTTTCCTTAAAAAGGAAGGAAATTCTGACACATGCTACATTATGGATGAACCTTGAGAACATTATGCTAAGTAAAATCAGGCAGTCACAATAAGGCAAATACTGTATGGTTCCACTTATATTAGGTACCTAGAATAGGCAAATTCATAGAGACAGAAAGTAGAATGGAGGTTGCCAAGGGCTAGGGGAGGTGGAAACAGGGAATTAGTGTTTAATGGGTACAGAATTTCAGCTTTGCAAGATGAAAAGAGTTCTAGTGATGGATGGTGGTGATAGGAGCAAAACAGTAAGAATATTCTTACTGCCACTGAACTGTACACTTAAAAATGGTTCAGATGGCCATGCCCTGTAATCATGCCTGTAATCCCAGCATTTCGGGAGGCCAAGGTAGGAGGATTGCTTAAGGTCAGGAGTTTGAGATCAGCCTGGGCACCACAGGGTGACCCTGTCTCTACAAAATATTTTTAAAATCAGCTGGTTGTGGTGGTGCAGGCCTGTAGTCCCAGCTACTTGGGATGCTAAGGCAGGAGGATTGCTTGAGACCAGGAGTTTCTTGAGGCTGCAGTGAGCTATCATGACACCACTGCACTTCCTGCCTGGGCAACAGAGCAAGACACTGTCTCAAGAAAAAAAAAAAGGTTCAGATGGTAAATTTTATGTTATGTTACCACAAGAAAAAGAATATTAAACCCTGGATAGCCGGGAGAAAGCTGAAGACTTACACAGAGGTAGAAAAGCCAGGGCAGAGCGTTCCTGAGTGAAGGGGTGCAGGTTCCATTGTAAGAGCATAAAATGGAGCTGATGGAACTGGGGCCCACACACTTGGTTCAAAATGGATTCACACTGCAATTCTTTGTTTGAATTCTCCCTTACCTGCCTAGATGTTATTATTTCCTAAAAATTCAGAATTAGTACGTCGGAGAAGCATGATAAACATGTCCACGGTATGGCATGAGTGAACACAGCAAAGATGCGCTGGGCAAGGCTTGGTAGGCACCAAATGACCGCCTGTGCCCCCTTGACAGACCTGTGTGGCCCCACGGGGAGTACGGGACTACAGGGACTACAGTCCTCTGTCGCAAAACCAAAGCAGATACGCGCTTGGTTATTTTCCTCCACCCTCTCGTGGTCTTCCCCATCCTAGAACGAGCAGCTGAGGAGAGCCTGGCGGACCATGTGAGCTCTGTCAGTGAGGAGCTGAGGAAGCAGCCCCGGCGAGAAAGGCCCTGTCAGTGGCCTTGCTGGGGGGAGAACGCAGGGTCAGGGCGGGTCTGCTGCAGAGGCAGCAAGAGGCACAGGCTGACCCTGGCTCGCCAGGATGCCAGTTAGACACTGGAGCTGAAGAGATTTGTCATCATTTTCGTTGTGGGCACTCAAGGAATTCTGTCATGGTAAAAAGTGAATAAAGCATATTTTAATTGCAGGAAGTTTCTGACATCAATTCCTTTGGGACTTGACATCTAAAATCACCTTTAATGGTACAAGGTTCCTCCTGTTAAACAAACCTCAGCTCCTCTTGTGAAAAAAGAATCAATTTTGTTTCCACAATGCCCAGGAAGTAATCAGTTAAAGGGCCCCATTCAGGTATCAGAAATGGGTGCTTGCCAGGATGTGGCTAAAATGCCAGCCCTGAATAAGACGTAATATTCAACAGAAACATTCTGCATAATCTGCTGCCATTTTACGGCTTTCCGGTTTGGTGGTATTTCAATCTTAACAAAAAGTCTTTTGTTTGCCTAGGTTTGGTGGACTTTTTTTTCTGGCCTTGGGCCTCCTGAGGCGGGCACTGATGTTATTTAATAAGTCAAGTAAGTTGTGCCGTTTTAAAACGGGTTAGCGCTGGCCCTCACTTGTAACAAGGTTCTAGGCAGCCTGACTGACCTTATTCCAGATCGCTTCCTACCTTTTCCCAAGTCAAATGGGAAGTTATACCAAGCCAGCTTCTCAAAATCCCCAGAAGTTTCTCTCTAGAACCATGGACTTATGCTTGGCATGATTTACTTTGGAAAAATTGGAGAGAGAATAAAAAAGTCTGTAGAAAATAGACATTGAGGAACTGTGCTCAGCTCAGCGTGGATTCATGGACCACTGGGTCTGCAGTTGTTCCTCTGGGGAAGGCGGAAGAGCAGGAATCCACCCCCTAGGGAACAAGGCTACAGGTTCACACGGAACCCTCGGCGTGTGCACGTGGCAGGCCTCAAGGGCTACAAGAATTGCTACAATAGTCATTCAGTTTTTC